TAGGCTCAGGTCTAACACTCGACATTTGGACCGTGGACCTCTATCAGACGAAGGTGACGTCAAGTAAACGGGGTCGCTGTGTCGTTGTGTAGTCTCGTTTGACAATTTTCTGACAAAAGAACCGCTCAATACCTTTTATAGTAACTTCTGAACATGGATGTGTTCGCGCACACGCGGAGAACTAAAGCAATTAGCAATATTTGATGTGATCAGTCTCGCGATGTGTAGTATAGCTCGACGGTCGCGACCTGCCCTGCTTCTCTGCAAAACACATCACTAACTCACGCTCCATCGTCCACTAAACAATTACCTTCATAATGGAATTAAAACTCGAGGCAGGCCATTATTACCTCGAGAGTCTTTAAAGCTTCCCACATATCGAGACCTATTATTCTCTTTAAACAAGGTATTAAAATAAGATGTTAATTAGCGTATTAGCCGAGCAGCATAGAATGGGACCCATTCCAGGCGCGTACTCAAAACTGAATAGCTCATAGACTGGCAGTCCGTGCTCACAGACATTTCGACAGATTGTTGGCTCTACGAGTATGATGATGATATTTGACAAAATATTATTTATGATAATAAGGTGAAACGAAAAATAATACGAGATTTCGCACTCCTTAAACGTGTCTAAGAGATGAGACAACATCGTCGAGAGCATTGTCTATTACAGTTACTGTTTGAAGGGCGCCGCCTAGACCCCTAAATATTCCAGGTAAGTAACAATGTGTTTTGTAATTATGTATATAAACATAATTGTTACTTTGTTACTTTTTAAATTGAACAATTTTGCCACTTTGAACACTGACTTGATAGCTTATTCTCGATTTGACGATTTGATCCGACAAATAGTTTAAGTCGGTTCGATCGACATCTTACTCCGCCCGGTGTCTCCTGCCACTGAGCGATTGCCGCGGGACGGTATGAAGGCGTTTTTTATAAAATTTACAAAACAATGAATATTTGATTTATATTTGACTGTAGGAAGCCTTAGTTTGTTGACCTCAGGTAACCCCATGTGATCGATATCTCCTCATAGAGATGCAATTAGGATGTTCGTATCTATGTGCATATTTGTTTCATACTCGTTGAAAGCATTTGTCACTGTAAGCGTGAGGGAGGGGGGGGGGAGGTACGTGGACTACTGGGTTGCCGAGAAGGGCCATGCCGGGATCATGGCAACAAATATTGCCCGCTGCAGCGCACAATAATGTTTATCTACAGACTTTAGGTTACTTCAATTAATATAAATTATAAGTCCACGTGATTGACGTTTTCTTCCCGCTTCACTACTGAGTTTTCACTGTGCCCGCCCACTTCGATAAAGCGGCACGACACGAGAACCCTCTCATCGTGGCCGCCGGTAACTACATTCCCGATCCTGCGGACAGAATGGAAAGCAGTCGACGTCGCCCAAAACACGTCATCTCGGATCCTCCCGATCCACTAACGGTGCTTCTAGGTACTTCAAGCACCGGTCACCGTTCTCGTCGAATCCGTCGCTTGCGACGAAGGGCTCGACAAGTAAATTAACTCTCAGACACAGCCCACTGAGTTTCTCGCCGGATCTTCTCAGTGGGTCGCGTTTCCGATCCGGTGGTAGATTCTGCGAAGCACGACTCTTGCTAGGGTTCGTGTTAGCATCGTCGTCAGGTTTGTACCCACCTACTAGTTAAGGTTCCGCTGGAATTGCCTCTCTAGGCTACTAGCTTAGGCAGGGAAAAAAAAAAAGACTGTGCCCGGAACAGCGACCGCGGCACGTTATAAAACATTGCTGTGCGTAGACGACGAGGCGACGTGGGGGTACAGTCAAGTCGCGGTGTCAAGTCTGCTGCGTTTCCGTCATCACCCAATTATCCTGAACATGGTTCCCATTACCAAAAAAAAAAATTAAGGATATATTATTGTTTGCTGCCGTACTCCAGCGCCACGCACGAACGTTTTATCGATAGCACCGGGAGTTGGTACTGCTAGTGCACGAGTAATGAGACATTGTCCTATTTTACCTAAACGGGATCGGTGTCGGGTAGATGTGAACTAAAATTATAGAAGAGAAAATAGGTCACTCCATGCTTCAGGAGCTAATTTGATTTTATGACTGGCGTCTCCGTGCCGCAGCACTCCATACTCAATTTATTGCATTGCACTAGTATTCAAATAGTAGGCGCAAACATTAATTAAGCTACATTATGATTTTAACTAAAACCAAAAGTTTGTGCAAAAACGAAATCCTAGAGCAGGCAGAGATATCTGCCAGGTCGGCGCGGCGCCGGCGTCCTGCACGAAGCGATCGTTTCATGAGATCGTTGCTAAGTGCGCTGGCTTGTCCTGCCGTGGAGTGATACTGAATTAAATTATTTTATTGGTGTTGGGACGTGTTGTGAGTCCGCATGGGCAGGTGCCACTGTCCTGTCTTTTTCTGCAGGATCTGGGCCGCTTTTCAACACTTTGTACCCCTCGTTCACCGTAAGTCTTTTGTAACATTTTCATTGACTTGAAACACCAAATTAAATTGACAATGCAAAGTTTAAGACAAACTATTTGTTCTATGGTTTTGTCCATTATGAAATTCGCAATAGGCACACGCTAGTTATGATATAACTAAAAACAGCACTGTATTTAATCTAAAGAGCAGATTGAACTCAAACTCAGAGCCAAAATAGAAAACAATTGTACCTAACAACAACAACAAAAAAGGGTGCGTGTACTATGTACGCGCGTAAGAAGTTATACTTTATTTTTATTAAATTTATTTCTTTTTTTTTAATTATATATATAATAATAAATATTTAATGTTAATAATTTAATAATATTTAGTATATTATATTATATTAAATAATAATTTTGTCATTTATATTACTAAATAATACATACGGATAGTTAAACTCAATTGTATTGGAGCACTTAGGAAGGTTGATGAGCACAGTTTTTTCACAAATATTTTCTAATATTAATTAGTATTTATTTAAATATTGAATTTAAATCACTTCTGATTATAATTCAGACGCGCATATAAAATTCGCACTTGTATAATGAAAACAAAATGAAAACACGAACAGGTGAAAGAGCACCGGCTTAACCAGGAGGGGTGGGATTTGCTAACAGCTACCCGAGTGCATCCGAAGAAGACCCAACAACTCAAGAGTAGCTTCGCGCTTCGCGAATTAATCTACTACTGGATCGGAATCGCGACCCGCTGAGAAGATCCGGCGAGAAACTCAGCAGGCGGATGTATGGGTTAGGTTGCACATCGAACTCCTTGCCGAGTTCAATGAGTACCTACGCTTACTAAAGTCCCTAAGCCTGCTCCTAGCGTTAGAGCTGAAGGCGTCTAATGCAAGAGTTATTGATTGGCTCCTGCGCGATCAGGATTCGGGGAGTAGCCAGCGGCGGCAACGATAAGGCGATTATCATGACGCATAGCCTTATCGAAGTACCATTCTGACTTCATGTGCTTCCGAATCGATTCGAGGCCCAGGTCGTCGTGTAGGTCGACGTTCCTCACGAACCACATAGCTCTGACGGATAATCTGCAAAAATCGTATTGTAGGGATTTCAGGGTGTCTTTGTGTGCCGCGGGCCACGTGAGCGACACCACTCGCCTAAGTCATGACGGGCATATATCTACAGTGTGAGAGCTCACACGATAAAATTTTATTTTATTTTATTTATTTAATAAACAATGTTTCAACAGCATTTAACTAGACACAGGGTACAGAGGATGTTTTCCCAAACATGAGCCAATTAAAGAAACACATTATGTTTCCAAAAAATGTTAACATAATTAATGAACACAGGTAGTCCAAATTGTACAGTAACTGCTGTACTGAGCTGAGAAATAATTTTAACGGAGACCGGTGTATTTATTTCATAAAGATATTAACGGTACCTACGTTGGAAAGCGATTAAAAATATTTTATAATAGAAAATATGAAACAATCAAATTAAACTCATCCGTTTATTTGGTCTTTATGTAATCGTTCAAATATAAGTTCGTTGTTGGAGATCAGTTATGCTAGAGGCAGCCAAATCTGTAACTAGCCAACTATGTGTACTACGATATATTATATCTACATAACGATGCACATATTCATAAAGTTGAATGAGAATACTCGTACTGATCAGCAAGGCTCCGCTTGCAGCCGGGAGCGCTGGCAGCGACATCTCGCCAATGCCGAGCCACACCATGTCCCGCTCGCCCTCTCTCGGCACGCCGTCAAACTACCTACTGTCTCTCCACTATTTTTTAAATTGTTTTCTAGATGGCAGTTTATTTCATTACCTTTATTTGGTTGCATATACTAATACGTAATATATATATTAATACGTGAAGCAAAAACTTTGTATCCCTTTTTACGAAAATTGCGCGGACGGAGGAGTATGAAATTTTTCACACTTATAGACAATATAGAGAAGAAGTGCACAATGCTAATATTTTTTTAAAGTAATGCATAAAAGATACATTAAATCAATAAAGCAAACATTACACACACTACATATTACCATGTATTGTCAAACTTTTGTTCTTGACGTCTGTTGTCAAATTGAGAATAGATTAAATATTGTTTGTCTTAGTTAATATTTTTTAATAGTGTAGTCTTGGCGAAATTTGTGATTATAGAAGTATAAAATACAATCATAATAGTGTACAAGCTTGCAATTCCAATTAATTATAGTCGAATTTCGACTACTGCGGGGCCTCTAGTTTATAATAATTATGTATTAATTAAATCAGCTTCTGTCCGCGGCTCCGTCCGCGTAATATGACGTATCCGTTGATCGCATTATGTTTGATTAAGTTTATTGGAAGATTTATACAATGTAAATATTTTCGGAAATTTTATATTTATGAAATTCGTGAGTGTGGTTCGCGACATGAGCTTCGTGACAATGCATTGTACCTATTTTTCGGATAGCGAGATCATTCCATAGATAGTACAATAGGTACGACGGTGTATGTATTCAAAGACATTTATAAAATCGCTATAATGTATTAATCACAAATTTCAAAGACGCAGTTTGTTGGCACTCGCCCTGGTCCTGTGAGCGCGCGGCGATGGGTCCAGCGCGCGGCTGAGCGTGTCCAGCAGGCGCAGGTGGCGGCGCGCGAGGCGCATGTGAGCGTCCCTGAGCGCGCGGACTCCGTGCCTCCACGTTGCGTTCTTGCACTCATCATCACCTGTACGCAGTGGGATTACTGTACACATACAACGTTTTTGTTCATCGCCGCGCCGTCTATGTCAATGATCTAATAATTAAAAAAATATTAATTATAACGATCACTTGTCTAGTGTTAAGATTATTTATTTATATTTTTGTAAAATACTATTTTACTTTAAATTGTATTTTATTTTATAAATTGTAGGTCAAGTAAACTGTTTCAATTTTCTATAATTCGACAGGGTGGGTTAGTCTTAACGTACAGGCGTCAGTGGGGTCGGGTCTCGTGTCTGTATCGCGCGGGCCACCGCCTGGGCTGCTAGACTCCGTCTGCAGATAGTCTGGATTCTCAGTCGAAGCTCTGTAACACAGCATTATCTACATGCGAAGGCTCTCCAGATGTTTTGTTATGCAGATCATCTACCGATTTTTATATCATAGCTAACTGTTACCACCGGTTTCGCCTACGAGCTTAAGGAAAGAAGGACAAACAAACACACTTACACATTTAATACTAAAATAATTGTGCATTTACTTTTATTTGTTAACGTAAACAAAAGTAGAATGATGATGAAGAATCTAGTGTCCAGATAAGAATGTCGTACCAGAAAGGGTTAATGTTCCGAGTATTTAGATGACAGAACTAGTTTAACGTTGCCGCTGGACATCGGTCGGCAAACAGCTCGTAGTGGCTCGTCCATCCGAGCACCGTCGAACACTTGTCACCATCTAGCGCCATCGTGTCGAGTCTGTTGTCGACGTTGATAAGTACAGCCTGCTAATCATTACCGAAGCCCACACACCGAGTACGCGGCCGAGACAATCTCACCATGTCCTTTAATCCGATAAAGGACTGATGCTCTTAAATGCTTAACGTTATGGTAACAGTATTTACAGAAACCTGTAGTGGAGTAAATAGTCTAACTGTGGACGGAATAGTTGAGGTACATACAGAGAGGCCTGGACGGCGACGCTGGCCCGGCGGGTCCGCGGCGGCGCGCACTCGGCACTTCAAATAAAAATTATACAATTTGAACCTTCACAACTGACCCATAAGTGTTTCGTTATTAACCATTAGGTACTTGTATATTTCAATATATTATTATCTGGTCGTACTGAAAAAACTTATCTAGAATCGAGAGTATAAAATGAAAGTAAAAGAAATACAAAATCTACTCTACGCTATATAGCTTGTTGGCTGAATTATCACGTTCTCGGCTGCAGAAATAATGAGAAATATGTTTGTGTCAATTCCGCCAGTAATGGACACAGTAGGCCGCGAGCACACCGATATCACCACCCGCAAGTCTCAGTTGTGTAGTGTACCGGCTGTCTCACCATTCAGGCTGGGCCGCGGGACTGGTTCGCGGCAGGAGGAGGCAGGAGGAGGCAGGACGGTGCTAGCGGCGCGGCCTCACAGTACAACTAATTACGCAATGCCTATATTTTATGGTTTACATTATCTGACACCGTGCATTTACTCCATCATGCAAGTCGTTCGTGAACATGTGCCAGGTACGTATTGAATTACAATAATATATGGATGCCTGCACGATTTGAACCCCAGGGCAGTCACGTCGACCCGGCAGGCTGGTTCTGGTCCAGCGGGGTGTTCCGGGATACCAGCGGCGGCGTCTGGGCGGCCTGACGGGCTGCCCTACCGAGACGGCCGACGTTTCAAAGCCTTCGATTCGCCTCGAAGACTTCGTCGGCCGGGCGTCCTTGGGGTGAGCCGCGCTGTCTGGTGGCAGTGTTGACCACGGTAACTCTTCTACCTCATCCGGGTTCTGACCTCGGAGTGGATCGGACGCTTGGGCGAAGAGTGTAGGGGAGTCGTTTAGTGGGTAGGGCCCTAAAATTCCTTGGGCCCGCGTTCTGCTCCCAACACCTTGCAGATCGTCAAGTCCCACATACATACCTACATACATACATACATACATACACCCGCGGGATATGGTATGTGGTATGTGGGCCTACGCGGGGACCTCGTAGGAGGTCATACGACGTCACAACAACCGTCAATGACTGCGGTCGTCTCAAACGCTGTGAGGTCGACGTCTGCAGTTCGCCCCGCCGCATACTGAGAAGGCAGACATGTCACCCAAAGAACTCACTGTGTCGGTACATGAGTGCCGTGCGAGCTGATGTCAGCAGTTGGCGTCAAAAACATCTCTCCCTGATCGGTTCCCTGCGAAGGCGTCGCGTTGTCGAGTGCGGAGTGTCGCGCAGGGCAGCACAGGGGCGGCGCGTCCAGCGGGAGTGCTGCTATCAGAGTGCGCAGCGTCTGTGCCGCTACGTGCCTACCCTCGCGGCTGCAGCGCTTCTGTTTCAAACAACTTTTTACCAACATTGCAATTTATTAATAACCTTTTATTCTATTACAAATCAGCCTCTGTCTACCTCTGAAACCTACATGAGAATCCATTTTAGTGACTTGGAGACGTTCGCGAAAAAAAGATAATGGCCTTCTGGAAATAAGGCTATGGTCCTGGCTACGTTGGTAAGTCCACACATGTCCAGGAATTCTCAGCATAACGTTTTCAAAATGTTAATTCAGCTTCTAGTTGAACAAAACTGAATTTGCTCTTGACAGAACAGTTCTTCACTTTGAATATTTTAAAATCGGTCTTAAAATTGGATAGAAACAAGTGTTTTTTTTTATTGCCTTACGACAACGAGCATACGGCCCACCTGATGGTGAGTGGTTACCCGCTGGTTGCAATAAATTATTGAAATCTATCCACTTTAAAAAAGATTTGCGGATAGAATACTCAAAACGAGTTTGTAAGCACATAACAAACACCACAATAAGCTATTAGCTACTTGAGAATTTATAAAAAATAAATTATCGCCACTGAAGTCAAAATAAACAGGTCGCCCTTATTTTGTTTTGACTAGTATAACCATAAATGTACCATTTATCTATACTTAATATGATAAAGCTGAAGAGTTTGTTTGTTTGTTTGGTTGAACGCGCTAATCTCAGGAACTACTGTTCCAATTTGAAAAATTCTTGATTAATCCAGTGTTAGATAGCCCATTTATTGAGGAAGGCTATAGGCTATATAACATCACGCTAAGACCAACAAGAGTTTCAGGGACACGACCTTCAGTAATGAAGAAAGCGACGAAGAAGAAGAAGAAGACCAACACAAGCGGAGCACCAATAAATAATGTTTCAAAATCGGTTTTATTTTCTCTTTTGATAGGTTCCGCTGCGTGCGCTGCGGAAACGGTCAAATTTTTGCTAAATTAATGTATTACAGAATTATACCCCCTTTAAAAGTTCAAAAAAAATCCGCTACAGTATATGTTTATATTTTTAAGTTGGCACACTACAAGCTTTTTATGCTAACCAAATTTGTTCTAAAATAAAGCATTATTTGTGAAGGTGTTTTTATGACGATGATATTAATCCCTATCCAAATAAATACGTTACGCATTACAAGTATTTAATTTTAAAGAAATCTGCCCTCACTTCATGTGGCGGGTAGCCATCATTCAACGCAAGATAATTGACAGATGCCTGAATCTCGCTTACGACATTTTCAAGATAAAGCGCATATATACAAGTTCCGAACAACAACATTAGGACCGTCGGTCTACCGAGCAATATCATCCGCTCGGTGGAAGATCTTCCCTCTGTCGTTTAAGCTTCCCCAAAACTGGTGACCCCGACGTGATGTGAGTACGCAACCTTCTGATTCATCATCAGCGCATCAAGAACTTCGGCTACCACAATCCCCGCATTCTCGCAGATAAAAGCACATCATTGACAGTCGTCCCACAGCAAGCCAGCATCGCAGCCTCAACAGGACCATCGCAGCCGACTCACCGCGCTTCCTGGTCCTACGGCACGCACCTTCACTGCCTCATCACGCCGCTACAGTTCATCGCAGCCCACGACCGGATCATCAACGCTTGGGGTCACACATCTCCGGCGTGGCAGCTCTGCATCACATGGACTACGCACGACACGCACGCAACATTCAAGCTCAGCCTCGACTCACCGCAGGCTTCGAGCAGCACTGGCCCTTGCAAGCTAATCTCAGCACGGACAACGTTAACTAAAAATGACACGACCTCCAGTCTCGGAGGGGAGTGATGTGGCGGGTAGCCATCATTCAACGCAAGATAATTGACAGATGCCTGAATCTCGCTTACGACATTTTCAAGATAAAGCGCATATATACAAGTTCCGAACAACAACATTCGGACCGTCGGTCTACCGAGCAATATCACCCGCTCGGTGGAAGATCTTCCCTTTGTCGTATATCTCCATACTTCACTTCACAAATCACTTCAAGATAGGCTTTGAAAATTATAAATTTTTTTGAATTTCTAAACGATCGCATCCTCAGATCTTGATGATTACAGGACCATTCGAGAAGTCTACCCTTTCGGACAAAATTAGTAAAAAGAATCATCAAAATCGGTTCAGGCATTCTTGAGAAATCGGTGAACATACATAGATAAAAATTGTGGTCGAATTGATAGCCTCCTCTTTTGAAGTCGTTTAAAAATGTGTTTTTGGTACATTAAATGGCTCCTTAATATTCTATTATTCAAAAATATTTTCGCTTTCTACGTAAATGAAGTCGCGGGTAAAATTTAGCGTTATGCCGAAGTAACTAAACCAAGTAAGAAGTAACCCAAGCGGTCTCATACTACTCCACCAACAGAAAGCCAAGCCCGCTATGTGTTATTTGACAATCGTTTACGGGATACCTGTACGGTGATCGGATGTGTAGAGTCTGGGGGCGCCCGCAGGAGTCGCACGGGGCGCGGGGGGGGACGCGTGATGTACCGCGCACCCCCGTCTCGCCTGAATGTCGTGGAGTATCCACATACCAGGGTGCTATTCAAACCAGGACGGAATATTGAAGTGTCAGCTCATTAGCTATAGTTGTAATACTCGTAGTAGTAGCTCTTCTCCGGGTCGCGGCTTCTTACTGAATTGTGAGGGCGCTTTTGGCTACACACTTGGTACACTTGGCACACCACCTTGACCACCACAAGGCACAAGGATGAATTCTAAATTCCTTACCACGACAACCCCTCCAAACATAAAGCAGAAATAAGCAATTGTTTTATTTAAAACTTAGGAAAATTAAGTTTTTTCCACATGTTTAACTTAAAGCTCTGCAGGAAGCATTAAGGTATCGGCTCCTCACGGCGGTTTCAAAGAGATAGGCTGATTTATTATGACTAATAGTTAAATATTGTACCGATACACATGTCTATCATTTACAAATATCACATTTGAACGTCAATCAAAGGAAGGAGGCAAGTGACCTGCCGTCCCTGCCCGGCCTGCCGTGCGGGGCTGGACTACTCTCGCGACTCTGGTTACGTGTTCGGTCTTCGCCAGCTTCAGCTCTATTGCGTAAACATTTATTAAATTAATAGTTTAAAAAAAACATAATTTATTTATGTGAATCGGAATCACTTAATAATCTACATAATAAAAATGTGTTCAAGTTTACCTGACAGGCGAGGACCTGGACCGCAGCCAGCGACAAGGACTGCAATCTAACAAAAATAACAGGCTTAGTGTCATCAGCTCAGACTCCAAACAAACTGTCACAGAGCCTGTACCGTGGGACCACGATGAAATTGTGAAATGAATCAACGAAGTACAAAGTCAATCGGTAACGGAGTTTCTGTTCAATATTTTGTTAAACACAATTACGTAATATCGTTATGAAGTCATTCGCATCCCTGGTGCCGAGAAAATGTAAGCATTCGTAAATTTCCATGCGGCCTTGTTACAATAACATTAATATGAATGAATGCGATGAGGAAACGTGAGCGTGCAGCGCGACGGTAGATATAATAGATAAACCTTCCTTTGTTCAAAACTACTCTTACTATGTATTTAAGTTTGCGATTTTTATTGTCATTATATTACTTCCATTCTTATGTTAGGTACCGTAAAAAGTTGCTATGAGTAATAACTCATGAGATAAAGATATAATCATATGAGTAATATTAACTATGGTTATGACACGTGAAAACCGAAGAAAATATTTCACACAAAATAAAACTAGAAAGATTACGAAAGAAATGTGACTACCTGTGTTCACTAATTATGTTAACATTTTTTGGAAACATAATGTGTTTCTTTAATTGGCTCATGTTTGGGAAAACATCCTCTGTACCCTGTGTCTAGTTAAATGCTGTTGAAACATGGTTGATTAAATAAACAAATGAACTTATCTTTAAATGCGGAAGAATCAATGAAAACCAACTAATATCCCGTGGAAGAGAATGTTACCATTTTGTTTACAAAGAGTTGTATTTTAAAATTACTTATGAACAAATATGCTAACTACGGGAATAATTTCATTTCTAGCAGAGCGAGCAATATTAATAACATCTCATGAATAATTTCTTAGTGGAACACGTTCGGGTGAGCGCTGATGTGTGTGCTATTGAAGGCAAATATGTACGTGCCTATGTACCTACATAGTACTGTTCGGGATACAATTACAAGTGTTTTATATGTGTTGACAAAATTATCGAGTTTGTACTGCACACACCCCCTTAACAGTATTATAATTAAATTAGTTTGGGCTAGCTGACTTTACACTATAGAATTGAAGCGTGGTGTGTTCAAGCATGTGTGGTGCTAGAAATGTCAACAACACGCAGTTTGTGTGGGTGCGCTGGTCGATATTGAACGTGGCGTGCACGGATAGCTCAGCAGCTCGTCTGCGCGACTAGTGCGACTGGTGCGACTGGTGATTACCGAGCGTCGGTGAAGCCCGCGCGGGAGTGGAGGCTGCGGCCCAGAGCCGCGTAGCTCGGCATTCGGCGGCGGCGCCCCACTCGCTCCTACGAGTGCGACAACTAAATATAATTCACGCATCCTCTGGACGAACACAAGTACGAATATTAACGACACCAGTACACACTTTATATAGGAACATACAGATAATTTAATATTTAGTGGGTGTCCAAGTACATAGTGACGAGTTATCAAGTTGTAGTAGTAGGTTGCAGGTCCCTAGTTGCAGTCGAATGTAGTACGTTCATATACACACTTAATGGGTTTTAAAAAGTAATTAATTATAGTTGGTTATTTTCCTGTTTCTAGTCATAATCGTAAAGGCGATAGCGTCCTCGGTGTGTCCTGAACTGTTGCGGCCGCATGGTCACTCTCGCCGAGACGCCGCTCATCTTGTAATAAAACCAAGAAACCTTGGATTACTGAATATTAGACTTTACAAAAATGTACTCACAAGAATCCTAACGACATAATTAAAAAATATAATTAAGTATAATTTAAATTTAAACAAATCATCCTAAACCCAATTTATTTGCAAATCAAACTGACAAGCGTCGCTTGAAAATTGACAAGCAGAAAAAACAGAGGATTAGGTTTAGTTTAGACTAGATTTATCCAATAGATTATCTCTCAATCTCTCAGTAACTCATAGCTAATATAGCTAAATAGTAACTCATAGCTAATTATAGCTGCACTCACAGCTAACCACAATGTTTTCGCGGGCTGTGTTATTTCCAGTCATACAAATTACACTGTATGATCGGTTTTAAACTTTAACGATAATGATGCAAAGACAGCAATAATATAGTCACTATTAGTTACGAAGTATGGACAGGGTGTTCTGTAAGTAGTGAACAAACGGGGTATGCGGAATAAAGGGAATTATTATCCAAGAAAAACATTAAAATTTACTCTTGTAGTTTTGAAGTTATAGATTTTTTTAATATTAAGGTAACTGCAACAACTCAGAATTGCATGTGTGCTCCGTGTACAAGTAGTTGCAACGACGCAAGCACCAAACAACGCGTGACTTATCCCTACTATCACCAGTTGCGAGATAAAGCAGCGTGCTGTGTGTGTCTCCCTCTGCTCCTGTACCCGATCCTGTGGACCGAATAGTAAACGGTCGTAGTCGCTTTGTGCACGTCATTTCGGATCCTCCCGATCCATTAATGGTGCTTTGAGGTGAGTGTACCTGCTTGGGGTGAGTGCACCATTCTTGTCGAGCCCGTCGCTCCCTCCGAAGGGCTCGACGATTAAATTAACCCACAGACAGCCCACTGAGTTTCTCGCCGGATCTTTTCAATAGGTCGCGTGTCCGATCCGGTGGTAGATTCTGCGAAGCACTGCTCTTGCCAGGGCTGGTGTTGGCAAGTTCTCTTACGGAGGAGCCCTTGAGCTCACCTACCGGTCCGTGCGAAGCTGGAATAGCGCATTACTGGTACCCCCGCGAATATGTAGGAAAAAAAGTTTATCCTTTCGTACGGTACCACTTGAATTTTTAGAAGTGCCAACTTATTTAGCTCCGATGCTGTTCGGAACTCGATGTACGTAATCTCGAGAATGAATCCTCCTCAATACTACTCCTGAAGGTTACATTTCTATTATTCAGTTCATATTACGTGTGCCTTTCCTTCATGGTATAGAAGCGTTTATAGCTTATTGCAAATAATGGTAGACGGTTACAGTTTTTGTTTTATTTTATCTACACAACCATTGTGATGGAGCTCACACCAGACGCCGGTACACTACTCACCTATTACGTAAATTATATTTGTTTTTTATTAAACGATATTATTCTTTCATTGAGTGCGCCTGCGGGCCTGGTCCTCCGGCTCGGTCGCAGGCGCTCGTCCGGCCGGCTCGCCCTTTAACCCGGAACAGCAATTGAAATCGTCTTTCGAGTAGCGAAAGCCAAAAAAATATTAAAGCTTTTTTTAAATGTTTTTGTTTTATTTTTTAAGTTTTACTGTCAAGGCTGTGTGTTCATTTCTTTTTTTTTTCTACCTAAGCTGATGGTCTAGAGAAACCATGTCAGCGTCACCGGACTAGTAGGTGAGCTCACAGGGTTTAAGCCTGACGATGTTGCTAACACGAACCCTAACTAGAGCCGCGCTTCGCAGAATCTACCACCGGATCAGTAACGCGACCCACTGAGAAGATCCGGCGAAAAACTCAGTGGGCTGTCTGTGGGTTAATTTACTCGCCGAGCGAGCCCTTCATCGCAAGCGGCGGGTTCGACGAGGATGACCGGTGCTTGGGGTACCTAAAAACACCGTTAGTGGATCGGGAGGATCCGAGATGACGTGTTTTGGGCGACGTCGACTATTTACCATTTGGTTCGCAGGATCGGCTATGTAGTTACCGGCGGCCACGATGAGAGGGTACTCTTGTCGTGCCGCTTTATCAAAATGGCGCATTGATGCCGACTGTAAATACTTTCTGATGGACTCTAGGTCCAGGTCGTCGTGAAGATCGACGTTCCTGACGAACCACGGGGCTCCGACGGCTATCCTGCAAAAACGGGATTGAATGGTTTGAAGGGGTTTCAAGTTAGTGCGGGCCGCGTGAACGAACACTACACTTGCATAGGTCATGACGGGGCGTATGCAAGTTTTGTAGAGTGTCACCTTATTTCTAAGGGACAATTTACTTCGCCTGCAAATCATCGGATAGAGCCATTTCATTTAATGTCAATCAACTAAGCTTTTCAGTGAGGAGATCTACCGAAGAAATATCTGTCGACGCTCTCAGAGCTTCGTTTATAATGTTAAGTGCTAATCTACGATAAAGTTCGCTTTGGTGCCCTGGGGTGGTTCACGATTCATGTTTCATATACCCTGATGTCACTTCGTATTGAAAGCGAAACCAGTCACGGTGAAACTGAAAACCGGGCATCACAATAAAACGCCCAGACAAAGCTTCGTGTCTGTGCCACTGTTGGACATTGAAGAGTTCCTTTTCCCGGAGCATCCCGAATATCGACTCTTGCCATGCCTATCATACAATACATTACATTTTGATCAAAAGTGAACCACCACGTAAATATTCAACACACATACAGGTTTCTTGCTAGCTATCTCAGACATAATTTCATTTTTAAAAGTTCCAAGTTCCAGTAAATAAACAAGCTCACGCCCCATCTGTTGGCAAGTGATTTCCGGAGTCCACTAATATTAGGTATATACAACGCCGCTGCCGCCCGAGACATGTGGTTGAAGTTACAATAGTAGTGTAGACTGGGCACGCTTGTAACAGGGTCCGGTTCAAACAAAGCGAATAAGTCTCGAATGATGGACGGGTTCCGAGAAGATCCGGCGGGAAACTCAGCGGGCTGATGCATGGGTTAGGTTGCACGTGGAACTCTTTGTCGAGTTCGACGAGTACGGTTGCCGTACGTACGGTCAGAACGTAATCGTCAGTGTCGTGCTGGTGGTTACGCAATGAAGTAAGTATTTCCGATCGAAGATTTTTGTTAATTACGCAGCTAATATCCAAATAAATAATAGTTTAAAAAAAACTAAAAAAAGACGCTTTTATAGAAAATTAAACTAAAACATAGAAAATATTTTAATTTTGAATTAAAAATAGTGTAAGAAAAAAATATTTTACTGTAAAAAAGCGTGTGGTGCATGGTATCAGTAGTTATAAATATTTTATGAACAGATATGACTACGGGTTATTTTGATAATATCCTGAAAAGCACCCCACGCTTTTTTTACTATAAAATCATTTTTTCTTACACTATTTTTAATTAAAATTTATTAAAATATTTTCTATTTTTTAGTTGGATTTTCTATAAAAGCGTATTTTTTAGTTTTTTTAACTATTATTTATTTTTCATTTTTTAGTTAAATTTCAATTTTTTAAATATTTTTTTAAATATTGATTTGTCATCGGTCCTTAATAAGTATGCAAAATTTCGAGTTAATCCGACGTTTTGAAGGGGGTCAAAATCATGTTCAAAGATTCCGTTACATACTAACATACATACATCTGAAGCTAATAATAAAAGCGTATTAAAAAGTATTGTTCTGTCTGGTGATTAGATCTTAGAGATATGGGTTTATAATAATGTTTATGAACAATATTTTCCCTCATTTTATATTCGTTTGTTCCTATTTGTAGATGTCTAGGACACGCATAAGAAACAAAGAAAGGGCGACATAGCATATCACAATACAAGGACGCTTAAGAGGAAATTAAAAAGGGCCAATCTTTAAGAAGTACCGCACAAGCGAAGGTTGCTAACTGCATTTCTTTACTTCGGTTTTCTGAATAATAGACAGACTGATTATTTTTCAGCAGAGTGAATTAATTGCCATTACATTGCATTGTTTTCATTTCATTTCATTTCATTGTTCAGTTGTTTGTTTTTTCCGTACGGGCTTTAATATTTTGTTGTCACTGTCCATTTTATCACTTCATTAATTAGAAGAACAGATTTCTACTTGAGACCTTTCATTCTTTGAAATATTTCTTTTAAGAACAGATTTCTAAAAATAGATTTATAAATAAAAATTAATTTTCATTAAGTACATGCGCGACAAACAGATGAATAACTCAATAACTCAAATCACGCCAACCGATTTCGATGATTATTGTTTTTAGTGTATATTAATTTGTTTTGGGATATCTTTTTTTTTCTATTTGAAGTCGGTTTTTGTTAAAGCATGTCTATTTACAATTATAAATTTGAACTATAGGAATTTTGAAAGTTCTTATGACTCAAGTTACTAATGCTGTTTTGTTGACTAATTGAAAGAGACTGACTAATTATTAGATACTAACCTACTTATAAATACTAAATTTTTCGCTTACATTAATAATGTTAATAAGGCACAATCTTTATTTAGCTTACATAACTAAAGATTCTACCGTATTAACGTTAGACACTCTGTTTTACCACTCTTCTGTGATTTTATTGTAATATATCTGAATAGAACTCATGAATCGTGTTTCATTTCCATGTGTTACAACTAACCGCAATCACTGTTACAACTGACCTTGGTATAACTTACCCTAAGTTGTTACAAAGGTAGATATGAATCCAAAATGCCCGTATAGGCTAATTATTGCATTGGGCGCTCAAATGCCAAAGAGCATTCTTTCGCTCCACATGCTTAGTGCAGAAGGTGTATTTCTATTACGATTTTATAACCAATCATTCAAAAATTGTTAAAACGGTACCCAGTCAACCCTACTATATAGGTAGCTTGATATATATAGTAGGGTAGTTGACTATATGACAGTGATAGAGCCGGCAAATCTAGTGATGATTACATCAAAATCGCGAGGAAATAATTATCGTAACGGACCCCCTCACTAGTACAATGGAGCTGACGCGTGGAGTGACGCGGGAGGGGTGCCCGGCTGCCGGCTGTCAACGCCGCTAATGGTCGGCACAGCCGGTACAAACTGCTGTAAACGCATTCTTTGTCTTTCAACACCAAATCATAATACAATTTATTGAGTATTAAAGTAAAAATAAACATGTTTTTTGAATATATATTAGTTAGGTTTCTCGTGGTGTTCGGCTCGTTACTTCATGTTATTGACAATCTCGATCATGCTGGAGTAGCTACCAGAGACGAGACAGACAAGGCCAGCTATAATGATGAAAACATCTCGCAGCAGCTTGTAGTAGCAGAGGCCGTAGCGGTCGGGGTACCAGATGCAGACGTCTATCAGGCCCGGGAACACGACGGCGAGCAGCGACAGGCACAGCGCTCCGAACAAGGATATGAACGGGCCGAGCTGCGGCACGGCGATCGCCAGGGCCCCTGTCGATACAGACGTCATTCTATAGCTACAGAGAGGCGGGAGGCGTCCTGACTTCATGTATCAGAGCCTCGAGACTGGAGCTTCCTTGAAGCATGAAGTCGAAATCTCAATTACATACTTATATTGTAGTAATGCCAATCCCAGTCTCCAAACCAAAAAGACCACCTGTTTCCGTTGACAAGTAAACCATAAACGTTTGGTTCGTTATTATTTTGGTACAGACTAGACAAGCACTGGCTTACTTACAAGGGACAAGAACCAGAAGGATCCTGAGAGCGTAGTCTATGGGGCATTTTTTTTTGCCGGTAATTTTCTTCTTAAGTCTTCGCCATATTATATTGTATGCAACAAAATTTTGTAGCGGAAATGAAAGGAAAATTGATAACGCGAATATTAGTTTCGCTGCTTGAGCTTTCCTGAAATGTAATAACTACTAAATGTCGATGATTAACACTAAAGTTATTCCTATCGAAAGTGGCAGATGAGTTCACTAATAACCTGATGTTGGGCGGATCCATACATATGAAAACACCGATGCTACCCAACTCGCATTGGTTCACCAGCTACCCTTCAAACCGGAAAACATGATGACTTTTCATAGAAATAGACGAGAGAGCAGAGCAAGCTTGTAACATGGCCCTCTACCCAGGGTAGGAATTACAGAACTGAGTAGGAAAATTAGTTTCGACACATCGACCATCATCTTATTAACGGTCGGACTGGGTAATAAGAAGCCTTTGACATTTATTGCCATCGTTACTCGCGCGATTGAGTAGTACCATAAAACATTATAAGCAAAAAACCATGTTTCACACCTCGTCATGTTTACTAACGAATGGTCATGTCTTGTCGAATCCTCCCGGTCCACCCTCGGGGCTTTTAGGCTCTGTAAGCACCGGTATGTCCTAGTCTAACTCATCGAATGCGAAAAATTCCGACGTGCAACCTAACCCGAAAAGTACCGAAAGTGGATCGCGAGGATCTGACAAGACATGTTAAGGGAGACAGTGGCTGGGTGTTGCACCGCCGCCTGTGTCGTGGGAGTATGTAATTAGAGGGGGTTCCAATTGAAGTCGTCGTGGCCTAAAGAATAAGACGTCCGGTGCATTCGTGTTAAGCGATGCACCGGTGCTCGAATCTCAGGCGGGTACCAATTTTTCTAATGAAATACGTACTTAACAAATGTTCACGATTGACTTCCACGGTGAAGGAATAACATCGTGTAATAAAAACCAAACCCGCAAAATTATAATTTCCGTAATAACTAGTGGTAGGACCTCTTGTGAGTCCGCGCGCGTAGGTACCACCACCCTGCCTATTTCTGCCGTGAAGCAGTAATGCGTTTCAGTTTGAAGGGTAGGGCAGCCGTTGTAACTATACTTGAGACCTTAGAACTTATATCTCAAGGTGGGTGTTGTAGATGTCTATGGGTTCCAGTAACTACTTAACACCAGGTGGGCTGTGAGCTCGTCCACCCACCTAAGCAATAAATAAAAAAAAGGAGAATTATCGTGACACGCTGATTTTTCTAAGAAGGCCGTGGTACCGACCATCTTTTTCTTGCATGCATCCCACTATGTGGAGTTGCCGCAGCATGTCCTATTTTTCCACTCTTTTCTCTCACATCCTCATGTGCCTTGCACATAGACCATCCAAGTCTTTTTAGGACGTGAGATATATGAACCCTTTGCGAGCTTAAATACCCCCTACAGCAAGTAAATACCGATTGGCTATCGCAATATACTGCCCATTTCTGCCCATTTCTGCCCATTTTCCAACGAGTCTCTGAGTCTTCTTTAACGACATTTACGGAATGAAATGGGCTAGTACTTTTCTAGGCCGACCCAAATACTTGAGTGCGATGGGCTTGAGTCGCATACATCACAACTCAAATAATCCGTTCCTAGCATAATAATCTCTTTCTCTTTTTCTCTGTCTCTCTCTGTTTTTAGAAATTTAGAGAAGAACACGTTAAAACAACAAATAAATATTTAGAATTAGAGAACACTTACTTTTCGTTCTGCGGTAAATTGAGAGTTATAGAAGCTTTGATTTCATCTCCATACTTAACGTAGCCAAAGACGCCAACCATTAGATACAGAGCTATAATAATCATCATACCGATGTTGAACAAACCGAATATTCCACAGAAGTGCTTAGGGTTCTCCATGTTGTACTCGAGGGCTAGAACCTGCATGTATTATTTATACAATAAAGACATGGCCAATTTACTTTGAAGACGCGGAAGTGCTCACGATAATCCCGCAGCGGTCAGCGGAACAGGAAGACCGCGACTCGGGGCACAGCGCGGTCGCCGCTCTACACGCTACACACTCACAAATACAAGTCCAAGATAGACAAGCGGACAGACCATATGGTGTGAAGTGTAACCGTCACTCATGGATATCAGCAATACCTACCAGGAGTACCGCCCTGTTGAAGAAACTTTCTAGAGCTCATTGAAGGGGGCGTATAAAAGCAGTGGGGCGCTTAATAATACTAAATACCGATAAAATACACTCTACACAAAAACTTGAAAATAGTGTATTTTTCTACACATCCTTGAACATCTAGATGAAGCGTATACGCCACAGTTACGAACCACTCCCACAGCCTCCAGCGCGAACAGTGTGACTCCAACAAACACAGGGATATCTGCATAGCTCTTGACTTCCATCTTCTCTTTCTCGAATGATAGATCTTCTTCAATCATGTAGAAAAACACCAATATCAGACCCAGGATAGTGATCACGTTGGAAACAGATGAGAATGGCGTCATCACTTTGAGGTCTTTTACCATGCTCACGATAATGAGCGGCCCCAGGATACAGCAAAGGTGGGTGCGTAGCCCCAGCTCCAGATTGTAAGAATCACATACCTGAGTTAAGAAAAATTATGCTTTACTGATCCGCAAAGAGTGTCTGTTTCTAGGTGATTAATTCAGTTAATTTTTGTTAGTGTGAATGGTGGAATCACAAGGGCATCGTTCATGACGAGCTTTTATGGCCGGGCGAAACTATTTGTGTCTCTACTGGACACAGTAGAAATAGCTGGATTTATATCCCGATAAAGACAATCAGCAGATGTTGAGGGGCTTGGTTGGGAAATGTTGCCGCATCCACTATATGGCTTTAAATTTGCACCTTACCTGTTTAGGCTTCTTCTCTTCTTAGGCTAGAAGAAGGTAAGTAGTGTTAGGTTAACATTAAGAGGGGACTGTCAAACTGTTTTTGGGCTGCTTGTATCTGTAGTTGCGATGGGCAGACGAAAACCTCAGAGATGGATGGTGATGTCTGTGCTGATAATTTAGAGCAACACAAAACAGTATCAAAGGGTCATCATGAGGAACCGCTTAATCCTTTAATTCCAACCTCACCTGCTTAATATTTTCAGCGACGAAAACAGGATATATAACACAGATCCCGAGCTGCCACAGTATCAAGACCACGTCCACAAAGTAGTAGAGCAGCCCAGAGGACCAGCGGAGGCAATGCGGCCCGTCCTGCAAGGCCAGCCGCATGGACTTGGGGTACGCCATGTAGCCGCGCCGCCAGCGCTTGCATAGCTCGTACTGGGCAACAATCTAAACAATAACACCTGCTCGAAGAATTCATGCGCACACACAAATACTTGACACATAATAGAGACAAAACGTTCCTCGTTAAATATTATACATATATTATCTTAAATAATAGAAGATGAACATGCAGATCACAGAATATTAATACAGAATATAAATTAAGACCTAATTCTTTGCTCTGAAGAAACTAAGTGTTAGTAAGCTTTTAAAACTTGATACAATCCGAAATTAGATTATATAAATGTGTAAACGAGCTCACGACCTGTCTGGTGTTAAGTGGTGACCACAAACCATAGACATTACAATGTGCTTGCCACCACCCACCCTGAGGCATGAGGTCAAGTCTTATTTGTATTGTGACATCGCTCGATACCAGTAGGTACCCGGGGAGTTACGAGTATATCGTTAAGGGCACGACCACTTGAAACCAACCAAAACAACATAAACACGGAACATTATCGCTGAGCAGTCCGAGCCCCGAGTCTTGGTACGTACGCCCGGTTACGCTTATTCTTGGAACTCGGCCGCGTGGCTGGAGCTGCTTGCGAAACGATTTATTTATTGTTTACTTCTCATTTACCCAAACGAGCTCCATTATGGCTTCCAAATCGACGGTGTACATTTTCTAGTTTCACCTTATTTATTAAGGTCTTTTTTTACAAAATTAGTGTCGTAGAGGGAGTTCACTAATTAGGTAATTGAGAAAAGTACGAACGAGAAGCTGTAGACAGTAGGAGGCGAAGAACCCGACTAGCAGCAGGCCTGCGATGCTGGCGAATATACCGACGCGACGCACCGCCTCGGGCATGGCCAGGATGCCGGCGCCGATGCTGCCCTTCAGCAAGTGAATCATCGTCTCCGAGTACCTAGGGGACTCACATCATATTTCGATTTCCTCTTGGGCATCGCCTAGAGGGGATTTTAGAACTACGACACATAATTATTAATTTTATTTGATTTGAGATGCTACCTCATTTTTTGTACATAAATACATACAAGTATACAGATATACAGTATAAGAGATTAATTCAAGAGGTAAAATAAAAAACCGTTCCTACTGAAGAGATACATACGAGGTAGGTTTCTCAATTTTCCGATGCAGGTGAGGATCATACGATGCCTCTTCGTCACCTGAAATTTGACTCTATCAATATTTGTTTAAGCTCAGAAGAAACCAAACTTGTCTTACTCGGTTCACATGCGACGGATTGTAAATTAACAAAGTCTACAGTATGTAATAGAACCGAACACTATACAATAATAGCACAATGGTTCCGAAATAGCTGATTTATTTTATTAAGAAGAATGGAACATTAGGACGCGGTCGAGTAGCGTCTAGTCACGTGGCCTACCTCCAGTGATGGTCTCCACGATACCCCCCATAAACTTGTAAATGAACATTTTGAAGCGCCTTAAGCTATGAGCTGAGAGATAAACAAGCACAGCAAAGTCGGATGTTGGGAAGCTTGAAGCTTCTAGTCAAACATTTCCGCCATAGTTCACAGAAGCGTATCTGTTGTCAAATGTGAGCCGCTTACTGACACGTCCGAGCAGTGTTCACTGTGGAAGTGTCAACGTCATTCATAAGATTAATGTTTCTTCTAGACTTTATTTAGAAAACATTCCAAGGAGATGCAGCGTGAAGGACAAACTGGAAATAATGTTGTCTATGAAAAATGTTACGTTGACTTCTAATTACAGTGGTTTACTCCTATATACTGATACTGATATCATTAATAAATAATATAAAATTTTAACAAAAAAGATATACGACTTCAACACAATAACATGAGATTACATACATATTCATATTTTATATTATCATTGTGTCAATTAAATATGAGTTAATAATTGATAAAATTTAAATGGGACCTTATGAGAAGCATCAGCCTTCAAATCAAAGAAAAATCATAAAAATGGGTTCGGCTGGAAAAACTCCTGAGGCAACACACATAAAATACAGCCGACAGTCCTCCTTTTTTAAGGTCGGTTCGAAATGTTTTTCTCGGAAGTAATATTATCGGTGCCAATTGCCCGTTAATGCCTACACAGGCGTTTTGAGAATACGTGTGTGTGAGCAGACGAGTTATCAGCCCGCTTCATGAAATACGATAGTGTTAAGTTATTGTTATGGCAAAGCAGTTTGAAAACAACACCGGCGCGGCGGTGTGCAGCTGCCTCACCTATTTATTTATTGTCACAGTGAAGCAGAACTTTTTTGTCGACCATTGCATCCCCAACACCAGTTCTGAGAAGCGCTTCGCAGGATCGGAATCGCGACCCACTGAAGAGATCCGGCGAGAAACTCAGTGGGCTGTGTATTTATGGGTTGGCTCACCCGATCGACGAGCTCGACGAGGACGGTGACGCGTGCCGGGTGCTTGAGAAGTCTAAAGGCACCGAGAGTGGATTCAGGGACATGCTTTGGGCGACAGCGGCTTTGCGTTGCCCCGTCGCCTGGCTCGTATAAGTGTGACAGCTCACTGTCCTAGCTGGCACTTTACAACCTATCCTCGCTTTGCTAGTTGATAAAAACAAAAGTTGTTATAAATTATTATTTTTGTGGATCATGTAGAGCGGAAACAGTAACTGGCTGCGTTCTAACGATAGACCCATTTATTAGTTGTTTAGTAAACATCTTCCGCAATCATATGAGGTATGTCTGTCACAACAGTGACATCACTCATCGACGAGTCTCACATGTACCATGCATGTATCGATGCTAACACAAGAATGCGTAGTTCAACTCCAGATTAGAGTCCAAGGTCTCGTCGTCAAGGCCGAGTGTCGGCAAAGTTCGGAGGAGTCGGGGTCGTATCGGTCGCGAGTCACACACGTGCAGGCAAAGCGCTCTGCTTAGTACTCACTCAGACGTATTGATAGAAAAAAACTTTGAACGTGTTTTAACTGCAAAGGGTTGGCAACAAAAGTATTTGAGCGGCGGCTAGCAACTAGAGACTGTATTCTCATAGGGATAAGGTTGTTGACAATGACGGAGGTTTCTGTTAGGGCCTGGATCGCGCGACGTCGCGGTCGCCTCAGTCTGTTCGGTGACGTGCTCCGGGAGGCTCGCTCTTTCTCCTCCTGCTCCCTGCTCCGCTCGTAAGTGCTCCGACGACTGCTCCCAGTGCTGCGGAAGGTATGTACACAAATCATTTGCAGATGTATTTACTTGAACGCATGACGTGCTTACTGTTTCCTTCGACAACAAAATGTTTACATTACGTAATACACTAGATTTATGTTCCGCTCCCAAATGCACTATTGATCATTTAGTTTTAAAATAAATCTAAGGTATTCGTAATTAAGGATGTTTTTGGTGTGTTAGCTTTGTACCAGTTTGCATTAAATGTTGGCGTGAAAACTTTTTGCCGCAGTGCGCATGCCTGAGCCAATGGTATTTTGAAAATGTTTTAAAATAAAATGCACATTCCTACCTCGGATACGTTACATACGAGTATATTATAAGTATAGAACAAGAAAACGAATGCTGCAGACTGTTTAAATGAAGCGAGGTGCGGTTCATAACTTTGAAGTTGAATTGAGCGAGCCGCGGTTGTACTTGTTTTTTGATGTTTGATTTCATTATTTTAGTACATTATGATCAAACAACAAACGTAAAAAGCCTTAGGAAACCGTCGCAACGAACTGAGAGCTGCATCAGGGACGCGGTCGCTCGCTGCCCGCAGGAGCCGTGCACCAGGACCGTTTTCACGTTCACGGCTTATATGTATATTATGATGTACAATATAATTTAGATAATTCAATGAAGTTAAATAAGACGGTATGGATGATAGAACAGCTCATCCTCCAAAAATAAAAATTTCTCGAAATCTTGTTTATGCAGAAGCTCTCACCGTCCCGAGGGTCCCGTTGTCAGCCGAGCGCGCGCCGGACTCCACTACTACCCGGTGGATTACCCGCCGCGCCCCTCTCAGTCCGAAACAATAACAATCATCCTTCCTAGTTATCACTATAAAATTATCTATTTTATTCATATGCAGCCTGCACTTAAATTCTTATTCTACCTTTTTGCACCGCCATTGACATTTTTCGTCACACCTCATGGAGGCGAAAAATAATCGAGCTTCGTAGATTGTAGAGCACTTCTGAGAAATAGACGCACTTATACTATATTTGATATAATTAAAAACATTTTCAGCTGATGACGGAGTCGAGAAAACAATAATCTTATAGCCTGTGTGATCTATAAATCTTTCAAAGCTAGGTTTTAGAACAAGTTTATCGAATCTATCGTTACGTACGTACGTATCTATGTTATCTCTTTGGCGCCACCTTTTTATTGCTTAAATGGTTGGACTAGCTCACGACCCGTCTGATCTTATGGGTATACCGAAGCACATAGACATCTACAACATAAATGCCGCCACACACCTCGAGATATTAGTTCTACGTCTCAGTTTTAACAGTACAACGGCTGTCTGACCCTTCAAACAGAAACGCATTACTGCTTCACCGCAGAAAATAGGCAGGGTGGTGTACCTACCCGTGCGGACTGACTAGAGGTCCTCTTCCTTTTCTTCACCTTATCCCACTAGGTGGGGTCAGCACAGCAAATTTTTTTCAGCCATTCTCTTCTATCAGCCGTCATTTCAACACTCACTCCTCTCTCTCTCTCTCTCATATCGTCATTCACACACTCCATCCATGTCTTCTTGGGTCGACCTCTTCCCCTTTTACCTTGCACTACCATTTCCATACATCTCCTAGTCACATGCATCTTCTCTGTACGCATCACATGTCCATACCACGCTAGAGGTCGTACCACTAGTATTTATACAGCTTGATTAGTGCAACTTGTTCGATGTTGGAAAATGAGGCAAATTTTATTAGGAATTCTGAAAAATTTGTTGTATCATGCTGTAAAAAAAGCTTAACAGACTTAAAAGTTTATCGAAAACTTGTGACGATACGTTATTTTATCATGAGGAGTTCCAAATTTGAACGCGCTCCGCATTACATAAACGGCAGACCTTGTTCTAGATCTTCCAAGTCATCATATACTCGTAGTTTTACTTCGAGAGGAACAATCGTAGGGGAGCCCGAAGGTCAGTCAGATGTTTTGAAAACATTTCACAGACAATTTGTATAATTTGTTTATTTCAGACAAATAATTTGTAGAAAAGTGGGTCCTGCGGCCCTGAGCTGCTTAAAGTCGAGTGAAACGAGAGTCTCTCGCTCCTGCCTGCGATATTCAACCTTTGCCAAATGTATGGGCAGGCCGGCTCGGGGGCCATAGACACAACAACTTGAACGGAACCACCCACCTCCAGAACAAGGCTCGCGATCTCAAGTGAACTGTAAAAATGGGTGCCGCAGCGACCATGGTATAAAGCCCTGTACCCACACAGTCGTGTTAAGTGTGCAGTGCCCAATGCCCCTGGTGCACCGTATATCACCAGCTCGCCAATAGTACCGGCGTCGCCTGCCCTGCACAAAGAGTAGTACATACCCCCTACAGTTTCAGGGGAACGCGCTATCGTTTTGCGACAAAAATATGCGTTGTGCCGGTGTATGCCCGCGCGTGCTCTTAACGAACTGCCCTAGATGTTATGTTTGGTATTTTAATTTTTCAACTGAGAAGTCTCTTTCTTAATTTCCGTTTTCATCAAGAAAAACGGTAGCCACTATTTTTTATTAAACCCTTAATGTTAATGTTTGTTAATATTTTCTGTATTGAAAACCACCACCTTCTTTACGTGCACGAATAATATTTTCTTTCTGTACGTCGGTGGTTAAGACGTACAGGACCTCCTGGAAGAGGTCGCTCTGAGCGACAAGGCCGCTAATTGTAACATTGTTTTTTTAACGTTTGCTGTTATTTTACTTATAGTGTTTCAATAATGAGTTATATATGTATTCACTTCCATTTCACAATATCGAGGAGCGCGACGGCCACCGTACCGCTGCACGAACAGTGGCGGTACTAACGCGGAATTGAACCTTAAAGAGTAGTCTTCATTGGGGAGCTATCGTCCCCGGAACCTCTTCGGAATCTTTTCCGTGGATTAAACGTTACAAAAAACAACCAATATGCTCGTGATACTGTTAAAAGAATGTTCTTGTTTCGTATTGAAGGCGGGGCGGTAATCAGAAGCAGTCGAGTTACGTTGTTGTTAAGCTTGTTTATGTATTCGACGTGTTACCAGAAATCCCGCCATAAATGTACAGTTGTCAGGAAATAATAATATTATTATATTGTTCTATTTAATCTGTACAAGTTTTGTTTTGTGCATAAAGTATAAATAAATAAATAAAATAAATAAATAATCTCCACACTCCGACTGCGTGACCCGAGGCGGCCAACAGCTGCTGCGAGGCAGCCCGTGTTGATTTAGAGTCGTTCCGTCAATTCGATATTGTCATTATTTGCAAAAATATCTATTTTTTCCTATAAAATTGATATGATATTTCAAACGTTATATCTGATCTGCGGCCAATATCTTTGCTACAATTGTTTTTTAAACCAAAGGAGCTTAACTTAAGCAAAGTATGCTTTAAGCTTTCGCACACCGACTGCGGTGCGTGAATTCAAAAGCGACAAAACTGCGTACAGAATGTAGGCGATTTGTTCCGCGGCTGAGGGAGCAATAACAAGCACATGACGTGACATCAGCGTTTGACATGAAGAGCACGGTCAGAGCCAAACACTTCGCGGCTGAACTAAGTAGAACTTAAACTAACGATGAAGCCACAACGAAATGTATTTTCTTCATTTATTTACAGCCTTTCTACATATTTCTTCTACTTTTCTCCAAAGCACATGTTACTATTCACACACACCGGAATAAATAGGAAAGACAAAATAGTCAGTATTGTATCCTTCTGTATTTATCAACCAATTTTCTTTTTTTTTGTTTTGGTAGCTTTAGCTGTTATCAATAAAAAATATCAAAATACCCGGTTTGTAATAGCAAAAGAAAAGAGATCACAGATAAGAATTAGAGCAATATTGTACATAAAATCAATTAAAATTTTGAAAAACCAAGTACAAGGGACGGTATCGCACCGGCAACACTTATGTACATTCTTTGTTTGGAACGTGTGTTTGTTTGTTCGTGGTCGCTGCGTTCGCGTGTTATATCCGCGTGCTGTAAGCCGGTATGGCTTTGAGTAGTATTTCATTTTAAAAGATGGGATTTTAGAAGACTGATTACTTTGTGAATTTAGTATTTATTGAACTGTAATTAAATATAAAGTTAAAAATCAAGTAAATTCGACAATTTGAACAGAAAAATGAACAAACATACTTTAATTACGAGCTTTAGTCCGTCGCGTTTACTATTCAAACGTCATTATCAAATGCTTTACGGTAGGCAGCGGCTTGGCTCTGCCCCTGGCATTGCTGAAGTCCATGGGCGACGGTAACCACTCACCATCAGGTGGGCCGTATGCTCGTCTGCCTACAAGGGCAATAAAAAAAAAAAAAAAAATGCTTCAACATATTTTATAATCTTATCTCCGATCAACCTACAGAAAGTTCAATTAGAAGATATTATTATTTGACTTTTTATTCTGTAAATAGTTAAATTAATTCACTGTCCTACAGGTTGATTAAAAATACTAATCATATTAGATAGAAAAAACCACATTGGTAAGTAGAGTATTAAATAAAATAATCAGATATTATTATTTGACTTTTTATTCTGTAAATAGTTAAATTAATTCACTGTCCTACAGGTTGATTAAAAATACTAATCATATTAGATAGAAAAAAACACATTAGTAAGTAAATAAGTAAAGGGGAATGCCCATATTAGGCCCAAAGCGGACAATAGATTATAGAAAAAATACTTAGTGCATTAATTTTGTCATAAATAAATATGCATTTACTTTCTTGCAAATAAGCGCCACTACAGTTTACAATAAGTAGTTTAAAAAAAGTAACTCTATTGAAAAAACAAGGATTTTTATTTTTGCGGGAAAAATATTGCCAGCTTCAAAACCTTTTACGTATGAAGTAAATATTTTGAGTATATAAATAAAACATATAAATAAATCATTTTAAGTATTATCATTAATCAATCGATTTTAATGGATTTTATGCACATAAAATAACATCGAAGACATACCCATTGGACTTTAACTTGTAACTATACTTGAGACCTTAGAACTTATATCTCAAGGTGGGTGGCGCATTTACGTTGTAGATGTATGTGGGCTCGAGTAACCACTTAGCAACACCAGGGTGGCTGTGAGCTCGCCCACCCATCTAAGCAATAAAAAAAACTTTACTAGTATTGTTATTTAAATATGTACAACTAAAACAAAAACATAAAAAATAATGTGTACTCGTAAAAAAAAGATTAAGATATAAATCAATTATCGGTTATTTAAAAAAATAATCGATATATGAATTTCATGTAATTATTTTTCTTTATACTGACAACACTGAATTTAATCTGACTGACTGATACTTCGCTTGCTGCTTGTGGTGTTGTGCTTGCATACAAAATGGATGTGTTTTGATTTTTCTTCGATTTATTTTACTTTTATCAATAACATTTCATACTACGACTAAAAACATTGTGTGAATTGTGGTTTTACCCTGACCGAGATTTAAAACCGTGTATATGCTCTCCTTTGCTATTTTTAGACGATACTAATTGTGTATGAAGATGAAGAAAATATAGATATTTAAAGAATTAAGTGTGTTATTTATACCTTATTGGATAAAGATACATTAGGAACATCTTAAACATAAAGAAAAGAAAAGTTCTTGAAGTATATCACAATCCGACACTTATTTATATAGAAAATTAACCTCAAAACGAGTTTTTATTTTTATTATATTTTTTATAATAGTGGCGTCAATTACAATATATTTTTTAGATATCCAATACATTTAAGAATTTGAATCAGTACATTTTTATAGTAATATTTGATGTCCATCTTGGGCCTAGCACACTATGGAGAGTGGGCATTCCCCTTTGAAGACTACAAAGCGCTCGGTTGAAGAGCGTCCGGGCGGACCCCGGCCCCCGCTCGCAGGTTGGCGGGGGTCAGTGGGTCAGTGCGGACCCAGGGCTGTGGCGTAGACGCCGTAGGGAGAGATCAGCTGGGCTTCACGTTGTGGGAGACTTGGTTATTAAGTTACATGAAAAAACTGTAGTATTGTCCGGCGCAGCCTGAGTGAAATTCCACTAACATTTTACAGCTGTAAATGTATATTTTGTTTTAATATATTTGTAATTTATGTCCCATATGCAAATTTAATCTAAATAATAATAAATTGATGTTTAAGTTTATTTATTTTCCAACTAAATAATTACTAAGAATCTTCATTATAAAACTAGGCTAATTTCATCTGATGCTGCGGCTAATTGTGTTGTAGCCACAGTACACTGCTATATTTATGTTGTTAGATAATATGTACCAGTATAGGTTTATATAAATATATATAAATACATACATTCAAATTGGTTCCTAAGAAAATAATGAAAAGAGATTTTTAGTGAGTTACATAGATGTGGTTTATCAGTGAAGTCGATTTTCACACTGTCTCCGTTTCGAGGCTGCGGCCCTGTTGGCCATCCTTGATGCTTGTCGTGGACACCGGCAATGTCAGTGTCGTCTCGTAGCGCTGTGCAAATATAAAACAGGAGAGATCATTCCAGAGCTTGTTCAAATCTATTTCTGAGAGAGTTCAATATCCGCGTAGCGTAACGGTTACGTTTCTGTGTTCGTACCCACCCGGCTTCAAATGATTACAGTGCAGTGGCTCCTCTCGGTGTCATCTCCATTAGATTTGCGTCCCTTGGGACCGAAGCTCCGCGTCGCGGTCGCGTTGCTTCTACCGAGAGCCCGGGCTACTTGCGTCAATCTTTTGGATTACTAGCCCACAAAAGTGTCGAAAATTTTACGGGATTGTTTTATTTTATTTATTGTTTTTTTTTTTTTTTTTTTTTTATTGATTATAATGTATCCACATTCAATAGTAATATAGGTCCTGAAACTCATTTTCAACATCGTAATTTAAATTGACTTTAATTTATCATATTGAATTATTTAAAACCCGCTGTATTATTGGCATAAAATTTGTGTACGACCACAGCTTTTCAACTAGATTATTATAATTTTTTTCCGTAAAATATTAAATAACCGATATTGCGACGCGACGCTGCGACGGTACGGTGCGCTGGTGTCGGCTGATGTCGGCTGATGTCGGCTGATATCGGCTGGTGTCGGCTGATGACGGCTGATGACGGCTTGTAATGGCCGGTGTGGCGATGCGCGGCGGCGGCGCTGTGTGCGTCGCGACGCGTGTCCGGCCTGACGCCTCGCTCGCGCTCCCGTGTGCCGCCGCCCTCCAGACCGCTCACTGAGATGCTCAACTCTTATCAACGATCGTGTGGGCCGTAAATATACAACAAGACCCGACACGCGGTTTCCATCAATACCTACGTTCCATTGGGTAAATATTTAGATCATTTTCAAAAATATTTTCAATTAAAACACTGTAATATTTAATTACATACATACGAATTGTTTTGTAATATAATTTAAATACATTTACTTTACATTGAACATGTAATTTGACACCAATTTTGAGGTTAATCGGTCACGTTGCTCCCCGCTGTGGAAATTTACTAAAATACAAAATCAGATCAGCAAACAGGCCGCCTCTTGCTAAGCGGCAGCATCGGTACCCACTAGAACGATACACAATATATTATTCACAAAGGTGTGCCCTATTCCCATACCTAGTCATGCAGGAGGATCGTTTATGGTTTTTTTTTTGCTTAGATGTGTGGACGAGCTCACAGCCCACCTGGTGTTTAGTGGTTACTAGCGCCCATAGACATCTATAACGTAAATACGCGACCCATCTTGAGATATAAGTTCTAAGGTCTCAAGTGTAGTTACAACGGCTGCCCGAACCTTCAAACCGAAACGCATTACTGCTTCACGGCAGAAATAAGCAGGGTGGTTGGACCTACCCGTGCGGACTCACAAGAGGTCCTACCACCAGTAACTACGCAAATTACAATTTTGCGGGTTTGATTTTTATCACACGTTGTTATTCCTTCACCGTGGAAGTCAATCGTGAACATTTGTTGAATAGGTACGTATTTCATTAGAAAAATTGGTACCCGCCTGGGATTCGAACACCGGTGCATCGCTCAACACGAATGCACCGGACGTCTTATCCGTTAGGCCACGACGAGTTTATTACTATATTTACGAGTTAAACAACTAAACGTCACTAGAAATAATAATAATAACATGAATTATCAGTCGTTGTACACTAAGCATCGAGCTTGCTAGTCTTCGCTGTAAGCATTACCATCCGTCACCGAACAGCAGTCTCCAACACGTTAGCTGGTTTCCGCATCGGAAGCGGCCGGCCTCCTGACCCCGCCACATCCGTCTGCGTCTCACTCGCTCTCTAATACAGGCATATCGAAAAATTGAATACCGTCTGTCAGTTTGCTGGTCCGGATCGATTCCAGCTGACAATAAAACTACAAAACAAATTTAGTCCCGGCCTTTATGGTCTCTCTGAGATTCTGTTTCAGAGAGAATCTGAAGTGTTTTTGTTCCGAAAAGATTTGATTATGAACGTAACATGTAGACGAGTAGCGACGCGAGTGAAGCCGCGAGTGGCGGCTAGTTTCGAATATTAAGAAACTTCAGTGAGCGAGTGAGTGAGTGAGTGAGTGAGTGAGTGAGTGAGTGAGTGAGTGAGTGAGTGAGTGAGTGAGTGAGTGAGTGAGTGAGTGAGTGAGTGAGTGAGTGAGATGGCGCCACGCCGCGCCGTACGACGATTGTTTATTTTCGTGTTAGTTGCATAACGCGTACATACCTCCCTCCCGTTTACATTCACATTTTACACAAATATTATACAATGAGCTATTTTTATGCACTGAATCTACCATAGCTGCTTACATGCGATAACACGGCCACGCGGACATTATTGTTATCGTTAGCCGCAAACATAATTTAGAATAATCAATATATTTAATTAAGTCGATGTCTCTTGTCACCTGCCACAAACATTATTATGTATTACTGGGCTTTTTCAATCAATCGTTTTAAAAAAAATATTTTCTGATTTCCCACATTGTTGTTGTTAATGTATTTGCTATTTTACTCCAAGGCTTTAGACTAAGGAAAATAATAAGTAATTGTGATGATAATAAACTCGTCCGTAGTAAGCTAATAATGTTAAGTGGTCACCGTCATTCATGATCTTCAGTACTTCCATGGTGAAGAGCCAATCTGTTGCTTGCCGCTGAGAACTTTGCTCCAACCTAGTATTGATACTTGTATGTAGGCTCTCGGTAAAACACATTTGGGTGCCGGTAGTACAGAGTCTACTTCTGGTAACGCGCCGTGGACGAACGCCGGGGCTTCTTCTGCAGAAACTCTCGCCGTAGAGGATACTGGAAAAATACAGAGACAATGAAAGTTTTCGTGGACACTGAAGTTTCATGATTCGATCTTTGATTGACAACAACAAGTTATCAATACCAATATCCATCGGCAATGCAGTGCCTCAAGTACAGCTCAAAGGGGCGCCGGCTCGATCGTCCAAGTTCGCTAAATTATTACTGTGTGAAAAAAGTTCTAGATCTGTAAATATCGCAGCTCAGTCTAGTAGAACAGTAAGATTCACATTATACTAATTCCGCGACACCGCGACTCAAAATGGCCTGTGGAATTCAGAGTTAAGCACTTAACTTTGACTGGCTCATCAGCCCTAAGTTCTATAGGTGGTCGGCCGGTCGGTCGGTCGGTCGTACACACAGTTAAAACTGCTGCACAGTTAAAACTGGCAAACAGACAACTCGTTGTTACTGGAAAAAGTACTTTTATTACTAAGAGTTCTCAAAATCCAAAGAAATAGTATGAGGGTGTTAATTAACAAGTTTGTTAAGGTGCTCGGGACAGTGCTGCCAACCGTTTTGTATGACATGACAATCCAAATGAACACTAGGTAGCTAAAGAAAACAAATTAATTCACCGTACAATGCGCGACGCCATTGAAATAAAATAATAACATCTTAACTTTAATGGAGAAGATGGTCGGCGTTTTGTCTAACATCTGAACTCATCTTGGCGTGAAGATGAAAATCCAAATCAAATAAAGCCAGACCCCAAGGTACTGTTAGTTCGTTTTGTGTGAAATTAAACATTTTTAAATTTAACATAAAAATCAATTTTATAAAATTAAATATATTCTTTATTTATTGAAATGTGGATTAATGACGCCGCGTCGTCTGTGACCACGACTACTGTACAGTGTTCGGAACGTAGCTTTTAATATGTATTATATAATGACAACAAAGAGCGCGAGATTAGACTGTACCTAAAAGCACTAGGTCATTAAGAGCCTCTAGTGTTTCATCCTAGTGATATCCAAAGAACTCAACTCGTGCTATGATCGACATCATCAGCCCAAAGTTTACTACAGTGACCGAATCCACGTTCGGGCCCGTGATAACTCATAAAAATATGAATCTAAATTGAATATGTGTATAAAGTTAATCCATATCCCGATTTGCAATATACGAATATGTGTTTACCGAACATCTCTAGAATTACATTACCGAGAAAATACTGAGCGAATAGGTGCGGCGTGCGGCGGGCGGCGCAGCTCTGCCTTGACGGACGCTCCTAACGAACAGGGAATCGGATTCGCAGGAACTCCAATCTGGCAGCGCCGCGATAAAGTACAGATTGCAAAATGAGATTGTCATTTATAAAATTTCGCAGCATGATTTTTTTTTTATTCGTTTTAGTTTATCGTTTATGAACACCGATAAAGGTGGAACGGTTAAAAGATCACGTACAACAACCACCGCTTCCGTTAGCGTATCTTAGGGTGCGACGGTTGATTCTATGCAGAATTTCATTCATTATGTTTTAAATTATTATGATAAAGTAACGGATGACAAAATAAATGTGTTTGTATGGCTTTTTTTCCCTACCTATTCTAGTGACCTCGAGGGGTCATACTAGATTCACCTAGCGAGTAGGTGAGCTGACGGAGCTCTAACCCGGTGACGTTGCTAACACTAGCCCTGGCAAGAGCAGTGCTTCGCAGAATCTACCACTGGATCGGAAACGCGACCCACTGAAAAAATCCGGCGAGAAACGCAGCGGGCTGTATCTGTGGATTAATTTGCTCGCCGAACCATTCGTCACAAGCGACGGGTTCGACGAGGCTGGTGACCAGTGCTTGAGGTACCTAGAAGCAACGATAGTGGATCAAGAGGATTAGAAATGACGCGTTTGGGGCGACGACGGCCGCTTACCACTCGCTCCACAGGATCGGATATGCAGTTACCGACGGCCACAACTAGAGGGTTTTTCACTGATGCCGACTGAAGATACTTACTGATGGAACAAAGTTCTAGGTTGTCGTGAAGATCCACGCTTCTCACGAACCGCCGTGCCCCCGTGGCTATCGTGTAACAACAGGATTTAATGATTTGAAGGGTGTTTGTTTATGTTAGTGCGGGTCGTGTAAGCGAACACTACACTTGCATAAGTCATGACCGGACGGACGTATGGAAGTTTTGTAGAGAGTTACCTTATTACGAAGGGACTATTTACTTCGCTTAAGCTTTAACATTTCACAACAACAGCTCTGTTGTTTTAAATCACAGTAATGGAACCATAGCGCGGTCTAATTCGACGTTGACGCCATCTATTGTGATAATCAGAAATCTGAAAAAATTTAATAATAAAAATTCTGGCAAATTAAAAACCTATTAGACTTTTTTTATTGCATAGATGGGTGGACGAACTCATAGTCCCCCTGGTGTTAAGTGGTTACCGGAGCCCATAGACATCTACAACGTAAATGCCGTCACCCACCTCGATATATGAGTTCTAAGGTCTTAGTATGGGTACAACGGCTGCCCCACCCTTCAAACCGAAACGCATTAAGTACTACTTCACGGCTGAAATTGGCAGGGCGGTGGTACCTTCTCGTGCGGACTCACAAGAGATCCTACCACCAGTAAAAATACTAGACTAATATTCAAATTGAACGCTATGGTTAAGTCAGTGTCATTTATTGATTAGTTTATTGACGAAAGCTTTGATAAAATAACATTAAAGTTAAACTAAATATTATAATACTGAGAGAGCAAGTTATAGTACAATGTATCCGTTTGTATGAATCCAGGAAATGTTCTGTCTGTGCGCCAATTTTCATCAAATCCTGTTCAGCGGATTACGCGTGATTGAGTAACAAACATCCAAACATCTTCAGAAACTTTCATATTTATAGTGGGATTAGTATTAATGGATTTCGTAAAAATAGACGGTGCTTTTTTTCTATTTTCTATCTTCCAAAGTACTTGAACCTCGTTTAAAATGAAAATAAATTAATGCAAGAAAAAGTTCAATTTCACCAAGATTTATGTTACATTTTTCGTGTATATTTAAATATTAAATAAG